AAGGGTTCCGAGTTCTTGAGAGAGAAATCGATTCCTAGAGAGAGAAAGCGACGAACCAGAGTTCCCAAGCGCCATAGATCGAATTTATCGTGTTTATCATTGTAGTGAACTATCCATGTTGTTTTTGACATTTTTAGGTCTTGTGATTTGAGTTTGCATTGTCTAAAAACTATCCTACGCACTTAAGTTGTCGAATGAATATTCTGGATCATTTTATCAAGAATCAGTATCTAAGCTCAACACGAAAAAGTTGGGAAAATCAACCAAGATCACATAGAATTTTACAGATCTCAATTCCGAGTCCAAACGAGTGAGATAAGTGAGTTCAAAGCTACACATATCGTTAAAGTAACTTTTGTGTATCAAAAACTAAAACGAGCGTATCTTATTCGTTTGAGGTCGAAATAACGAGCCGTTTGCGGCAGCACGATCGTACGACAAGGAGAACATTTTAGAGTTAAAAAAATACCTGGAGACTTCTATATAATTTTGACGAGATCCGACAATTAAACTCATAATTCAAATGCAAGCGGTAATGAAAATTTAAACAAGCTTACAATTTAGTAGCTCTTTACAAGTAAATGCAAATTAAGATAGTGGTTGTCCTGGGCAACGCCTCTTGTCGTGACCAGATTGTCTGCACTTAGAGCATCGCTTCGGTCCCCTTTTCGTCTGTTCAACTTGATCCATCTCATTGTGTATCCTTTCAACTCTAGGACGACCTTTGGTGCGTTTTAGGTGCAACGGTGGGATAATCAACTTTCCAGCGTATATAGGCCAATACGCTTCATCTGGCATGGGGATCAAAGCTGCATTATACGAGTTCCGTATCGCTTGTTCAGTGTAGTAAGGACTCACCAGGCTGTTTCTGGTCATGGTTATTGACTTAGCTACTGCCATTGCATGTGAACAGGGTATCCTTTCGTTCTGATACTTTTGACAAGAACACTCCCCTAATTCGTAGTGCAATTTAACCGTTTGACGACTGTGGCCACGTCTCCCTCCACCCCATATACCTGTTTCAACACCGAATATTCCTTCACTGCGGTTAAAAAGAACAACCTTATGCTTACTTGATTTTTCATCGTTCTTCTGCATTTGAACGAATACGTCATGTGCTATCGACTGACCTTGCAACTCCCTCCTTATAGCTTGCTGTAGCCGAGCAACTCGCCACTCGTTGACCTTCCAGTAAGACATCTCCACTATGACAGAAATAGGTATCGCTCGAAGACCCTTGTACTCATTATTTATACTTTCTCCATGGTTGGTAGTTGCAATGCCCCATCTGGCCCCGTTGTCCATATGGAACGTCCACATGGGCAACTTTTGACCTTCAGCCCATACTGCTCCAGCTCGGTGGGTCTGACGGATCATTTTCATCTTCTGCTAGTACTTTTTTGGTTGATGTGCAACCGCTGAAAGGTGAACAAAATCGTAACTGGTCAATACATGATGAATAACATCAGCTTAATAAACACATACTTAAATCGCATAAGAAAAACATTAGTACTTGCATTCCACAGTTGATTTTTAATGTCTTTCTTCTTTCCAAATTTGTGCTGGAAATTGGCGAGCCAGTGTCGAATACACCATCGCCATCTCCATCCCCACTCGTCGGGAAAACCACCCACAGCATTCATAATCCCCGCATGTCGATCGGATATAATCATAATACCTTCCCGCTGTGTCACGTGTTCGTATAGTTGGTCAAAGAACCATGCCCAACTTAAGTTGTTCTCCCCTTCCACTAATGCAAATGCAAGCGGGAAAATCCGCCTGTTTCCATCAACGCCAGTGACAATTAGATGACATCCTCTGTACTTCCCAGAAAGGAAAGTTCCGACAACCTTAATAAAAATTTAGGATCTAATTAGTATGAAATATACGTAACAGAAAATAATACAGCATTTAAAACCGGAACCAGTTGGTAAAATACCTGAATAACCGGTATGCAGAACCCAACACCGTCAATGCATGGTTTAAAAGCCCAAAAAAGACGGTGGAACATCAGCTTCTACTGTACTCGAACTTGATCCTCAGTGTATACATTGTTGTATACTGGGACGAAAATAGTCCCAGGATTGGACTCCTCCATTGCTCCCATAAGTCTAGGGAGTAAAGCATACGAATCCTCCCAATCACCATACACCTCAGCCATGGCTTGTGCTTTCCATGCCATGCTTTTTTGTACCTTATCGTGTAAGAATGTCGATCCTTCACCTCTGCCATGATAGCTTTCACCTTGATATCTGGTTGTGCTTCTATAAGGTGCTTAATAATTCTCCCAAATTTCTTTGCTTTTAGTTGCCTGTGATCTTGGGAAAGTATAGACGAGGAGCATGTGTGGTTCGTCTCAGCTTTGCGAATCACCCAAGCACCCTTTCTCTTCATATTTGCAGCCCGCAGTTGCCACGTACAACCCTCTGCATCATGCTTGCATATGACATGTAGTTGTTTACTGTCAGAATATTTTACCTTCCACTCGAAATTGCGCCTCGACGCCTCTTCTGTAAAAGCATCCTGCACAGCGTCTTTCGATGTGAACGCCATACCCACCTCCAAATTGGCCGTCGGATTATACACTGGCATAGGGAAAAAGTCGGGGGCATCATTCTGACTATGTAAAAATTGAGTTGGAACCTGTGTGTAATATGGCGTGGGTGCCTCACAAAATGCCGCTTCATCCTCGTTATCATCAGTATCTTCCTCCTCCTCGCTCACTGATCTCAAATATTCCTCAGTATCCTCGTCGCTCGACTCGAATGGATAGCTCGGGCCAGAAGGATCAACATGACCACGATCACCAACATCGTCTTCTCGCTCATGTGAAGTACGCCCTGATCGAATGGTATTCTCGATTTCAGACCACTCTGGCCCCCAAGCAGGCCATTGAACACCATCGGCCACAACAAATGGGGCTGGTTGATCAGGTTGCGAGTATTCTTCCGATGGCACCCATCCTGCACTACTACCTCCACCGTAGTTGCTTGAACTACCACCCTCTCTGTAACCCCCTGTATAACCACCGCCTTCGTAGTTGCTCGAACTACCACCCCATCCGTACCCTCCTGCAAAACCATCATCATAAGAATACTGGTGAGAATGAGATTCACCGACCGCCTCGGTCTCAACATACACCTCTGCAAGCCGGACTTGGTTATCGCTTAGGAAATGTAACATCATCGTAACCGCGTCATCATCGTTTATGACAACTTCTTGGTACACGACCCCGCCAGCACTCATGTCTGGATACCGGTAAGTAATTTTGCCAAGTCTCGTCTGTCTGCTCGTACAAATCCTGTCTGCACAAATATCACAGAGTTCTTGAAAATTGAATCGGGACTCAATTTTCAGCATAGTGGATTCGCCGTCCTCATAATCAATGTCTATGTCAGAGTTTGTCACCCTTCCATTCCACCGAATAATAAGCCAAAACTTCTTGAATTTACCCATATCTACAATTTAAAATAAGTATCTATTAGCTTAAAGACAGTAAAATTAACCAAAACCATATTGTACAACTAATATTATCCATCTCATAACTAAAGTAACATAAATTCAACTAACTAAGAACAACATAAATTCCCTAACTAACAAAACATATTTGCTACGATAAGTAATTCATAACAGAATAATATAACTACTAAAAACATCATTAGGCTATAATACGAAAATTAAAACATACTATAACTACTAAAAACATCATTAGACTATAATACGAAAAGTCTCAATATACCGAAAATTCATGTTCTGTGTATTATGCTCGGTTTTGGTTGCTGAAGTTTGAAGAAGGGGGAGTGGTTATGTTTTTACAACTGTTGGTGGTGTGGTATTTATAACAAAATCTGCCAACTATTCACCGTTTTTGTCAAAAATGGTGAACACCATCACCGCATTTGTCTCAAACGGTGAATAATAGGTAGCTGTGACCTAATTTTGACCTACCAGGGGTGGGAAACGTGGGAAAAGATCACCGTGTTACCCTAAAACGGTGATGTAATCACCGTTCTGATCAAACGCGGTGAATATATCACCGTTTTAGATGAAGACGGTGAATACGTCACCGTTTTTATTTTAAACGGTGAAATATTCACCGTCTTTGTCAAATGCGGTGATATTCTTCACTGTGTTTGTCAAAAACGGTGAATGCCAAACATGTGTACTTTGGGGAATTTTTTTATAACTTATGTATTTTGAGAATTTTTTTTAAGAACGTGTGTACAGTGGGATTTTTTCCCCAAATACCATACCGAATTTATCACTATTTGGTATTATCGAACATCGGTTTATTTTTTAGGGATTGGGATTCATTTTGGAGTACTATTCGGTATTCATGATTACGGAATTGGGATTGGTATATACCGAAATACCAAGAAATACCAAAAATAAAAAATTAATGAAATATAGCACACAGCCTTTGATTATTCCTCACTCTTTCACAACTTAGAAGCCCCCATCCAACTCAATTTTGACTTCCAGTTTAAGTCAATCTCGTCTATCACCCCATCTCTTGTTATTTTCATTACACCAAAAAGCAAACACTAGTATTAATCATCTCTCAGTCTCCAATTCGTCAAATTAAAGATTATCAATGACAAGAATTTGAGATGTCACCTCTCCTCCATTCTCCTTATCCATATCCTAGCTCTAGGCAAACTCAAAACACCTTGCTTAGTCTCTTTGCCCTAAATTAAACAATCAAATCCATTTTATATTTAATTATTAATTACAAATGTAATTAATTTCGTATTCGATAATATCGATTGAGATACCGAAGTACCGATTGTGATACCAAAATATTTAGGGATTGAGATACCAAAATTATTTAGGGATTGAGATTGAGATTGATTTTAAGATATAATTCGATATTCGAGATTTTGATATTTGATATTGGAATATCGATACCGTACCGATTTCCACCCTACTTACTTAACACTGCTAGCTGGTTTACCCTAGTAAGGTGCATAAAACCTTTTCTATTTTTTATGTGAACTCGTGTCCATTTGAATTTTTTATTTTGGCTTGTTAGTGAGTTGCAGGATGTTGTTCTTATATTGGGTGAAGGGAAGAAAAAACAGGCTCCGTGTTGAAGGACATGACCATTGAGCTATAACTAGAGTTGAAAGGCATGCTGGTTTTCATTTTCCATTGTTCTTGCTTATGGTGAATGCCCCATTCGTTCTACATCTCCACTTCGTAATAACCTTAATTCAACTAATGCTGAACAACTAGTGGAGACATGAAGAACAAAGGGAAACAACCATGCACATAGTTACAACTATGAACAGAACAACAAAAGGTGTAGTAGTACTAGAAGTATAGAACAGACTCCGCCAAGCTAATCAAGGAACAGGATCTTCTATGCTGTCACAAGAGATTTTCCAAGAATGATATCGTCCGTCGAGAAATCAGCCTCTTTCCTGAACGTTCCCCTCCCGAAATCTAGCTCATATGAGTCTGTCAGGCCCTCTACCAGGTCGAACTCTGGCTTCCATCCAAGGACATGTTTCGCCTTGTCTATGGACGCGAAGAAATGCTGCAAACATTCATCATCCCCAGAAACAAAATCAAATCAGTCAGGCGTCTTCTGAAGAAACTCATGCTGTTCAGAGTGTCACATTTCACAGTTTATGAATGCACCTGGTCGCGGAATGGGAATGCCTTCTTCTTCCCGAAATCATACTCCTTCGGATTGTAATGAATAATCTCGGGCTCTGGAAACCCACCAGCCTTGCAAGATAAATGCAGCAGTGATGCTTCAGTTTTTTTTTTTCATATCAACGCAGCTTTTGGAATAGTATGATATCATGTTGCTCTTTCGTTAAGGGTCATTACCTTGGCGCATGCTCTAGCTAACCCATCAAACGTAACATACTTCTCACCAGATATATTGAACACTTCCTTGCTGGCCTTATCATTCCCAAGCACTGTAATGAATGCTTTTGCCAAATCCTGTATATTAACAACCAAGAATCATTTGTTTTTATCTCCCTTTCTGCAATATCAAATGTGTGATTAGAGGGAATCAATTTTACACAAACCTTGACATGGCCAAGCTGGGTCATTTGGATGCCGGAGTTGGGAATTGGGATGGGGCGACCAGCCTTCAACCGGTGGAAGAACCATTCCTCTACAGGATTGTAGTTTAGAGGTCCATAGATGTAGACTGGCCTTATAGATGTCCAGTTGACTCCCGTCGATTCGAGATAGCTCTCTGTCTCGAGCTTCCCCTTGTGCCTGCTCTTGGGATCAACAGCATCTACCTAAAATCATAACCCTCTCAACATCAGCGAGCAAGAATCACAATGATAATCATGTGCTCGTCAAGTAAATCAGTTTTCCAGCAGAAAAGGAAAGTATATCACCAACCTCGCAATGGGGTAAGAGATCAGATTTTAGGTAGACTCCAGCTGAAGAGCAGTAAATAAACCTGAAAATTAGCCCAAAACCCCCCATATGAGAAGACTTTATATTCACTACCAGTGGATATTTAGTTTTTATGCTGATGCTTTGTACAATCATCATATGCAGAGCTCTTCGGTATAAAGGATAACTAAGGTTCATCTTCATCACACTGGCTAGAGAGCCTTACTGTTCAAGGTTTGGTAGGGCTTCTATGATGGGTTCAACTTCAACAGCCTCACGTCCTGCAAAATACAAAGAGAAAGGAAACGAAATGTCAAACAGAGAATGAATTCAAGAAGGGGTCTTTAACCAGACACAAAGTCAAGGTAAGTTTATATAATGCTACCATTGATATCATAGACAACATCGAAGCCTTTAGCTGCAAGGCTGGTCTTCACAAAATCGGAGTCCTTCCTATCTCCTTTCAAATGCAATATCTTACCATAGAGAGCAAACACAAATGAGCATCAGTAATGACCAGTCATCACTTACATACACACAAGCTAGTCATTATGAATGGGGATTGTGGCTGTTTCAATGAATACCTTAGATGAGAAGTCAGCAAAATCCTGGTCTGATTCCCCAGGTAATTGCTGGGCAATCGGTGCCTTCCCTCTAGTAAACAAGGTCACCTGCCAAAAGGGTTTAATTCTCAGCTGGGTATGGATGAAATAACAAAACAAGAAGAAAAACGAGGGATAAGGAAGAAAATAGAATACTACCTGGTGGCCCTCTTTAACAAGAAGTCTGGACAGGAAGATACCAATGAATCGAGTGCCACCCATGATCAGAATGTTCTTGGAGCTGCTGGAGGCACTGACCTGCAATGCTCCTCTGTTTTGCATACCCAGCTTTCTCTTGAACTGAACAAGTACAAACAAAAACACAGGCCATGAAAGGGTGAATTCATGTTCTGATTGCGATTGGGAAAACAAAAACAAGGAGAAGTTATAGTAGGCAAGAAGATTAGGACCTGGAGCTGAGATTGGAGTCGTGCGCCATTGAAATCAGAGAGAGATGAAGTGAGAAGAGAGAAAGAAGGGTGAGACTGAGTGGTTGGTTGCTGTAGTGAAACCATTCTCGCCATGGATTTTCACGACACCTCCTCCTCCTCTTCTTTCCCTGCCCTTTTCTGGGTCTGCTAAAATTTGTAGTTCTGTTATCTGAACCACAGCCCATGATCTTCTTCTGTTTCAGTCTTTCAAAACATTCAATGGGATAAGACAAACAATGACAACCTCTCATCACTCTTCCCTCCACTGATAATCCACACCACAATCAGCAAAACAACAAGACAGAGGAGTTGCTTTTCCTTTGCTTTGCATGTCGCCACAAAACAGGGGAAGAGAGTTCGAGGATCCCAGGCGGGGAATGGCCCAAATTTAGAAGAACTTAGCCCACGTTTTAATGGGCCCGTTACTTTGGGCCTTCTACGAGGGAGTATCCGTCGTCGTCTTCTTCTTTCTTCATCCTTCGCTCGCCATGAAGCTCGGCCCGAAACCCAATAATGAAGTTTGCACAGGTCTGAAGACAAGAATACCATGTGCTTAATAAATGGGGGTCACCGGGAATCGAACACAAGACCTCTCAATTACAGAAGGCTCTGATACCATGTCAAGAACCAGTTGATCCCAATAACTCGAGTTGTTGGAAGAGGTTCAATCGTGGATCATATACCACAACACTAACAGGAACGAGATAAACGACCTCGGCGAGAGCGTGTGGAGATTCGAATCCCTCGACCAAGAGGTCAGGTTCTACAGTAACTTCAATCTAAAGCACATGTTCATATCACATTTGCTCTACTTCTCTTCCCTTGAGGGCATCTCTTGCTTGAGCGCGATTCAATGGTAGTTGTGATTTCAAGAATTCGTTTTCGCTTTGGATCAGTCGCTGGCTGGAATGAACAAGAACGATGCATGGCTATTTTGGTGGACACTCTATCTCACGGTAAGCCAGTAGAAACATGGTGAAGATTATAGCATGTGACAGACTGCTCAGTAATGAGTGACTGATGAATGTTACAGTTGAAAGTAATCAAGCCAGTCGACTTTCTTACTATTAGTCTACTACTGCTAATAGAGTTGATCTTTTTCGTGTACTCCGATTTGTGCAATGTATGTATAGGCAGTTTTGGGGGTGTTCCTTGGGATCTTCTCTCTGATAAGGTTCCAAGCTGATTACTGCCTCATCATCGGTGTATGCCTGACTCTCAGTGTTGCAAACATCATTGGTTTCACCAAGTGCCGCAAAGGTGAGTACTTTACCACTACCTGCCATATCTGTCTTTGAATGGTGATATAAGTTTCAGTTTGCTCCCTCTTAGGCTGTCCATTCACTACTCAAATGGAGGCACTCATTGTCCACCTACCGAAGCTCTCTTCTTCATCACTTGATAACTAAAAAGTTCCTCCTTACATCAGTTCATCATTTACCTTTTGTGCCGTGATACCTGCAGTTTGGTCTATGAAGAATTGAATTGTTTTCGCACTCTTAATGAAAGTGATGCATGCACTGTTCTGTCCACTTCAGTATTCAAATGGAGAGACTCATTGTTCACCTATACCAAAGCTCTTTTCTTCATCGCTAGATAACTAATGAGTTTTTTGTCACATCAGTGCATCATTTACCTTCTGTTGCAGCGGGATCTGCAGTTTTTGTCAACGAAGTAAATTGCTTTTCGCACTCTTAATGAAAGTGATGGATGCACTGTTCTGTTTCTGGATTTGCAGATGCGAAGAAGCAGTTTCAGCAGTTTGCAACCCAGACTATAGCGTCTCGAGTCTCGTCCACCATTCAATCTGCATTCAGTGTTGTGTGAGAGATGCTGTGAGCTGAGGGGGAAACTACAATGCAGGAAGGAGCCATAGGTAAAGAAAACCGTGGCCACAATTTTGAGCAAGTATTGTAGGGGCTAGAAAAAGGAATTACCACATCATTAGATTGGTTTTTCTTTCTGTTTGTATCATCTTTTTTTTATACATGTATTAGCTTGTGGCATAATGGAAAGTAATGTTGGAAGCTGTGTTTTTTACTGAGGGAGTAAACTTTTTGTGGAACTGCTGAGGAGCTACCTTCCTTATTTGATTCCGCAATACGTTCAACTAATATAATAAAGAATCATGTAGGAGACTACGACCTATTTCTATCAAAAATTTCAATCAAATTATTCTGACTAGTATGTCAAAATTACTCAAATTATTTATGAGGATGATCATAGAGCATTCTAATTAGCTATCAAGTAAGAGGAAGAAAAATCGAAATGGTTCGAGTAGTATGAGTTGAAATCAAATCGACTAATTTGTTCGTTTTAGATCAATAATGCTAATTAAAGTCCATATATCATTTTCTATATAAGCGGTGATCATACTTATATATTCGATTTGGACAAAAACATCACGTATGTTGTTATAATAATAAACTTTAGTGACTAAATTGCTATTTACCTGAAATTTCAGTGGTGAATACTGTGATTTAGGGATGTTCAAACGGAGTGGTAACCATTTTAATCGGTACTATTTGGATAATTTGGTTTGGTTATTTTTTAGCTTGTTAGGTTTAGGTGGTTTGGTTTGGTTTCATATACTCCTAACTAATAAAACCAAATTAACCATTTAAGTAATTAGCTATATATCTAATATATATCATATACACATAATACTTTGAATAACAACTCAACAACTATATGTTCCTCCTTTTAGACCCATGAAAAATAAAGCTCAATATTGTTCCTATGTTGTATAATTATATTTGTAGAATGTATAATTGTAGATCACAACATATATACGTCTAATTAGATAAAATTCATACATTATATTGAATATATTAACCCCATACCATTGACATATATTTTTGTCAAGTGAATATTTATATTGAATGTAAGATAATTGTATTAGTTGTATGTATTTATGTTAAAGATTAACTATAATTATGTGTTGATTGTTATGTTTTATTCATTATATAAATTGTGAATTGATGCAACGAAAATTTTTCTTGAGAATGTGATGTTATAGTGATCAATCTGGTTAACCAATTCACCAAACCGATTAAACTTTAGTTTGGTTAATTTGATTGTTGTATTAGTTTGGACGCTTTGGTTATAATATTGTATTCCATGGCAATTAGAATTTAGGGTAATATCTATTTTTTATCCAAACCTTTTTCAGATTCTTTTATATTAGGCAAAATCCATCTGTGTAGCCAAAACTTTGACGTTTGTGACAATAATAGCCAATTTTGGGGAAATACCAAAGATAACCAAAAATTTGAAAGTTGGATGACAATAATAGCCATTTCCGTTACATAGTTTGACGGCCTCAGTGACACTGTTAGTCTAATTAACGGAACGATGACCTGGATGCAAACTCACCTTCTCTTTCCTTTCCACCTCAGCATCCACTGACAGGTGGGACGACAAATCATTTTCAAAACTGAAAAAAAAAAAATTAATCTGACATAAATCGAGGAAATTAGATTGGTATCTCCTTGTTGTTCTTCATTTCCCCAATTCCATTTCATTTAGGGTTTCAGCCATGGAGATGGAGAGCATCCCCGTCGTCGATTGAAGCAGCCCCGCCGCACTCGACGACGTACCCAAATCCTCCTTCTCCTTCCACACCATCCCTCGCCTCTGTTTTTTTTTTTTTTTTGTGCAGACCCCGTCTCCCCTGTTCAGTGAAGACCCCTCCCCCGTTCTGTGGCATCCCCGCCTCCACTGTTACTTGCCATCCATGACCGCCGCAGCTCCGCGACGTCCCTCGATTTTGTCGTAACTACCTCTCCTCTTCCATATTGTGTCCTTCACTCCTTCACAGAGGTTCGTCATGTCTCACGGGGGTGGTTCATCTTCCAGAAGCGAGAACAACATTGGGGTAGTCTGTTGCTATCACAATGTTTGTGACTAATAGAGCTGGTACTGAGTCTAACTCGGGGAGGAGATCCTATGGATGCTAGTATTGGATGGTAAACGAGATTTTGAGAAGCTTCATTTTTCATTTGTGTATGTTTGAGAGTTGCGACTATATAATCTGTTGATGCAGGAACCAAAAAAGAACTACAAATTTTTTAGGTGGGTGGAAGGGCCGGTGGATGAAGTCGATGCAAGAAATCCTGCCATAGACAGTACAATATTAAAGCTTCAGGAGAATTTACGGTTGGCTGAGGCTAAGGCAGAGAGGAGGAAGAAGGAGAGAAAAATTGTAGTCGAAGAGCTGAGGAAGGTTAACAACGATGTTCGTGTCATTCTACATATGTTCGTCGTTGTTATTTTGTTGAATATAGTGTTACTTGTGGTAATGTTGGTGAACCGTAGTAGTATGATTTAGGATGAAGTGATCGAAGTTAGTGTTTGCAGTCTATAAGTTTATCGAAGTTGGATTTCTGTAGAATGCTTTGTAACGTGTTCTGTAATGAATTGGCTTGTAATGTAGTGTTGATGCAAGAGACCGAAGTATGAATTAGCTTGTAAAATGTTGGAGCAAGAGACCTGAATTGCACCTTAACATCCATACATTCATAACCTGCTCCATCTGTCTTAACAAACCAGGACTTAACATCCATAACATCCATAATGATTACGTAAGTCTTAACAAACCATCTCCTACCATCCTTAACTAGGACTAAACATCCATAACAGTCATCTACTAACATTACTAACATCCATAACATCCATCTCCTACCATCCTAACATTCATCTATTAACACTACTCTGAAGGTGGATTATACCACGAGTCACATAGCAAAAAAAGCTCCACTGAGGCCATCCATAACCTGCATAGTAAGCAAAAAAGGTGACTTTGACATCTAAGGTTGTGTCGGAGTGGGCTAAGTACCACCATCAGGACGCCCCCATGCTCCAGCTAGCTGAGACAGAACCAGAAAGTAGCAAAAAAAAAAATCTGAAACAGAAAGTAGCAAGTTAATGAGGCCAAACATTCAAACTAAATCCTACTACTTACCCTCACGTACTGATCCTTAGTTGCTTCACTTACATACACTCCTATCCCTCTTGTTGCAACTCGCATCTCATGCTCAATCGTCCTCAAGACACCAACATTCAAGATAACATCCTAGACAATATCAATAGACACGTATTCAAGTTTCACCCACATACAATCTAACATAATGTACATTATATTCATTCAAAATTCTCATAAGTCTAATTTGTATACTGACACCTTGGTTGAGGGGGCAAGTTCTCGCATTATGTGTCGCCGAACCACACTTAGAACAATGGAGAACTCGCTTCCTCCTTGTATTAGGGACTGCATTGTTTCCAGTTGCAGCAGTGGGGACATCATTGTTTCCACCAGCAGTATTGTTTCCGGCGGCATTGTTGTCTCCGACTGCAACAGTGAGGGCAGTATTGTATCCACCAGCAGTGGTGTTTCCAGCAGTGCGAGAAGTCCTCCTTGTTGTTGTTTGAGCATGTCTTTCAGCTCCTTGAGCATTAGCTTACATAGTAGAATGGTTGTGTTAGTAAAAAAACAAAATCAAAAATCAAAAATTTCTTAACAACTTAATCAAACTAACTTGAATCTCAGTAGTAGTAGCTTTGCAGCCCCTTGAATTATGCCCCTCACCACCACATTTCTTGCAATGGATGATACTATCCCTTCTAGTTACCTCCTCGCCAACCCCATTCCTTTGAGGTCTCGTTTCCAGCTCGTGAGCAACCCTTTGTTGCTTCTTTTTAGGCCTTCCCGACATGGCTCTTTGCTTCGGAGGGTGAACTGGAAGACCAATAACCTCCGACCAAGCCTGCCTGCCGTCTAAGCAAGGGATGCCAACCCTGTATGCTCCAACAACATGGTGGGCATGGTAGCAAGGATGCACATAATCATCCACTATTCCTCATGTGTGAAATTTCCGAGACAGCATGGAAGCAAGGCAGGCCACTCAATTTCCAGTAACCACAGGGACAACTCTTATCATTTAGCTCCACAATGTAGCCTGAATCACCTATCTTCACTTCGCACTTGTCATCTAAGGTCTGCCTAGCAACACACAACCTAGAGAATTCCTTCACTTTATCTACCCACTTCCTAATTCTAGGGCACAACATATCAGGGGTGTCCATTAACATGTTGTACTTAATGACAAAATGGTCCATCATGTACACACGGTCCGTCAATGTTTTAGACTATTTCCCCAAGCCCGCCAGGCATTCTCTTGGGGCCCAAGTTCATCATACCTCCACTCCTTGCCCGTCCAACTCCACTGGGCCTTGGCTCATGGACTCTGCCGCTTCCCATCATGTTACATCTTATTTGGGCCACTTATCTCTTTATTCAGACTATACAGGGCCCAAATGAGATATTAGTTGGTGATGGATCAGGTTTGGCTATCTCCCACGTTGGTTCTTCCAATGTCTCTTTTGGTTCCAATATTTTTCATTTAAGAGATGTCTTATGTGTACCGGCTATCAAGAAACATTTAATATCAGTGGCCAAGCTCTGTCAAACTAATCCTATCTCTGTGGAATTTTTTGCCACTCATTTTCTTGTGAAGGATCTTCGCACGGGGGCACAACTGCTGAGGGGAGGAAATAACGGTTGATAAAGCGCCAGAGGGGTGCTTTTGATCAGAATACGCAGCTCACACACACACAATCGAACGATAGATGATGGATAGGTAGAATTCTCGCCACAATCGAGGTGATTAATCGATTGATAAGAGAACTTGCTAAACGATTCTGGAATCCACTCAGAATAGCTTTAGAAGGGTCTTGTAATTAGCTAAGGAATCCACTCGTAGCTAATGACAATGGGTAAAATCTCGAGACGCAACTCAAGAACTCCAAACACTCGGTTTGTATTCAATTCAATCAACTCTACTTTACAACGTGAATTGGAAAGGTATTTAAAGACAATAAACCCTAATACAACCCTGCATGAACAAGGAAACTAATTAGACCAGGAAAAGCCTAAATAATTCGTGTAAAACATGGTAACTTGCTGGCCAAGAAACTGACTTAATACACAAGCAAGTCTGCCTAGGAAAACAGGCTTCATAGCATCTTTGAGCCCTTCGAAAATGGTCTTCTAGGTTGATTAGAACTCA